GATGGCTTCTCACAGCCGTAGATCCAATCATGCCTGAAAGATCAACGGGNTCCACACCCACCCCTGGAGAGGCCACTCCAGCAAATAAACACAGTGAGGGGCAGTTTACCGGTCGAAAAACCCCCGCTAGATGGACGTAGGAGCGGGGTACCTGGGGCTTCCTCTTGACGGTGGGAAAAGTCTTCGCACTTCACCGGACAGCTACCGACCGCCCAAGCTGGAAGCCCCCAGCCAATAAGGTGCTGTCCCGTCCACGTTCCGCTTGTCTCATTGGGTGTATGAGGCTAAGGGCCGATCCCGAAAAGCGGACCCATAGTCAACGCACCAGCGAACAACAAACTTAACCGAAATTCAAAGACCTTGCGTGACAGGTCTCCAGAAGCTCCCACAGGAGTGCTTCGTTCACGCTCCCGCGGTGGATCTAAGTCCCACTGCCTTGTGGGTCAGACTCCTAGGTCAAAGGCTCCAGTTAGGGTTCCCAAAGAAAAACTCCTTCGTCGGTGTGGGTTACCGCGAAGTATGCCGTGTCTTAGTCTTAGGTACCCATTTGGAAAACGATCCTTCCCTTCTGACTAGTTCTTCTTCTCAACCCAGATGCCTCCTGTTTACGCCACTCATCGAATATCACTCAGCGTTTTACCATCAAGGCCAGAGATTTAGAAGCTATATGATTTTTAAAGCCAAAATCCCCTTTTAACTTAGCCGCGTTCAATGTCCGCACTCTTTATCAGATTGACCAGCAAGCTGCCCTGGCTAAAACCCACAAAACTTTCAATTTAGATGTATGTTGTGTCTCCGAAACACGCATACANCCCTTCGTGTATCAGGCGATTCGGCATCCGAAGCTCCCGGTGTTGCTAGTGTCGGGATTGCGCTAAGTGCCAAGGCTGAGCTCTCGCTTCTTGACTGGATTCCAGTCAGTAGCCGATCGTGCGCTGTACGTCTCAACGGTTCAGTTTGAGTCAACAGCTACAGAATGAAGCGTCGATGCTTATTCGTCGCATCGGCCTATGCATCGACCGACTGCAGTATACTTGAAATCGAGGATGAATTCTACAAGGATCTCTCACAACTGCTCCAAAGTGCTCGATCAACGGACGTCGTAGTAGTCGCCGGGGACTTCAATGCTCAAGTGGGATCCCTGGACGAATCGGAAAGGCTTGTTGTCGGACCACTTGCAATCCCAGCCAACCGGACGGACAACGGAGATCGTCCGCTGGAGGGGATCAATTCAAGACTGCCGCTCTTACTGGTCAAAATCTGCGGATACAGACCACGCCTTGTTACGAGCCAAGTTCTCCTTACGAGTGGCAAACAACCGCAAAAGAGCCACCGACAACGGATATCCGCGATATAGTGTCAGTGATTCATGCAAATCGGCCTTCGAAGCGGAGCTCTCCGATCGCCTGTCAGTTCAACCGCCAGCCGAAGGACCCAATGAACACTGGAAGCAAGTCAAGGAAGCTACGCAGATATCGATAAAAACAACGCCTCAAGCTCAAAACACAAACGATGGATTTTGTTGACCTTGGTTGCCCTGCTGGAAGCCCGCAGAACCCTTCCTCCGGATGCCACATATGACAGCGCGCAAATCCCTTAAACGGCCAGCTCATCAAGAGTCTGAGGAATGACCGCGAGAAGTGGTGGGTAGAAAAGTGTAAAGAGATGGAGAAAGCTGTGGCTATTGAATGACCGCGAGAAGTGGTGGGTAGAAAAGTGTAAAGAGATGGAGAAAGCTGCGGCTATTCGTAATAGACGTAACCTTTTCCATCTAATTAGGAATACGGACCCTAGGAAAATAGGCGTGAGGTAATTAAGGAATGCAATGGCACACTGATTCACGATCAGCAACGCCGTCTTGACTGTTGGGCTGAACACTTCGAGGCTCAGTTCAATTGGCCCCCATCGACAGCTTATCTTTCACTCTCCGCCTCGACTGGAGAAGTACTCCCATTTGATATTGGTCCTCCATCTGAAATGGAGGTTTCTCGGGAAATAAGATATCTCAAAAGGTATAAGGCCTCTGGCCCAGATGGGCTGTTCCCATCAGCGTTAGTCTTGGAGTTGACAAAACTCCTGGGTTCAATATGGGAAAGGGAAGAGGTT